TCTGCAGCATCAAAAATACGCATAGCTTTGATGATAGCCAAACTTCGGAACGAAGACGGCACTTGAAGAAGAAGAAGAACGCGCATGAAAATTTTTTATTGTATCTCCCCGATGGTGAAAATTTGAAATCTTTTGATTGGAGTGCCCTATCGACAAAAATAAATCAAAATGCATTTTAAAGATGAAAAATGTAGCTTTCTCATGAGGTTCTCACGAGATCAATAAAATTTATTACTTTTATCGTCTGATCACTATGAAACTTTCATTGCTAGAGACTGCAAAACCTATAACATGAAATTTCGTTTTTGAGTTCTTGCAACACACATGAGGCATTTGAATTATGAAAATATGAATAAAAAAACGCTGAATTTAAACTTTTGTATTAAAAACGATCTAAAACATTTTAAACTCCTTCTTTTCGATTTCACAAGTACAATATTTTTTTAAAACAACACAAACTCAGCTACAAATTCCTCCTAATACCGTCTTTGTAGAAGCATGTATCGTGACATGAGATTTTTTGTAATGTGAAAGTGTTAATTCAGCGTTTCTTAACTATATTTCAAATTCCTTATATTTGTTGCCAAAGCTCAAAATCAGAATTCTATAGCGAAAGTGAAACATTTTATTGATCTCATGAAAATCATGAAAAATGACAGAAATCGTGCAACGTTTATTTATCTAACAGCTTTATAGAAACTGACTTTATTTGTGCCAAAATGTAAAATTTAAATACGAAAGCTGCACTCTTCGCCTTGACAAACCATTTTAATTTTTGTCGATAGGACACTCTGATCAAAAATTATCGAATTGAAAGAGTTGATACAAATTTTATTTAAAAAATTTTCATACGCGTAACCTACATTAAATATCATTGGTCGCTTCAAGCGTTGTTTCCGAGAGAACGCTTCATTCTATAAAAAAAATGCCAATAAACATTTTTGTTCAAAATTAACTTAGCCATATTTCTTGTTTAAAACATTTTTTTGTGTCGATGTACAGATTTTTGCTACATCGATGTTTTCCGTTTCCCCCACTCTTCGCTGGATTGGTCATGGTAGTTATTTTCCTTGGCCACCACGTAGTTCAGATTTTAATCCGCTAGATTTTGGTGTACAGAACGCAATGAACGAAATGAGATGCTCTTTTATGAAACGTATTGATAAATGCATTAAAGAAATTGGTGGACATAACGAACACTTATTTTGACGACAAGGTTTAGTGTTATTCAGTTTAACTATTTCTTAATTAGGTTTGTAAATCAAATGTATTTTATTTTTACTTAATTAACTAATATCTACAAAACGTAATTTTTTTGATGTCGAATTCTACAACCCTATTAATTATCCTTCTGATGTACGTAAAAAAATGTTAGTGTGTACTACTTTTCCTTTAATATATCAGAATCTATTAACTGTAGTTGAAGGTATTTTATACCAAAATTCGAAAGTATTTATGTTTTTGTCTATTGTGTTAAATCAGCATTATGAAGTTTTGAAGTTATTAACAAATATATCTGTTTTTTCATAGGTGCAAATTTGTGCCACATATTATGTGCCACATTACATGATTATTGTCTTTTCTTTTTATATTTGTACATACCGCCCGTCGTGATTTTTTTAATGCAGCAGCTACTCTATTAAATCAATAATTATTCAATAATGTGTATTTTGATAAACGAACAACCCATACAATATGTTACCTGTTAAACAGATGAAAATGGATCCAAAAGATCTTCATTCATTTTTTTATAATTTAAAATACTCCATCACATTTATCTCAAGTAAGTTGGGCTTGAGAATTCAATGGTTTACAAGGCATAGGTACTCTAAAAATAAAAACCTTAAAAATATTTCATATCACTCCGTTCACGTGGTTTCAGCTATTTTTAAATAACTAAATGTTAATTTAGAAGTTAGAATAATATTACATTATTCGTCATTAGCCAACAAATAAATTCTTACCTTAATAATTCGAACACGAACGTAACGGTTTAATAAATGACACAAAAATTATTTGAAACATACTACAAATGATGTCAAAACAAAACTTACAAATGTTAGTAAGTTTTGTAGACTAAGTAGACAGGTGGCTAAAGTTCAACGATTTTACTTTTATATATTTATATTAGCAGAACCTATTTTAAAGTAAATTAATCTCTTTTAAAAAATTAGAAATGCATCGATTTAAGATATTTAGATAAAGAGTAACATAGCAGTGTGTACCATATCAAGCACTTTGTTTTTCTCATATGCAAATTTTCTTTTTAAATATGCGAAGATAAGCATATTAATATTTATATTGTTTAAAGTATCAAGTTTTCATTTATTATACAACTTAATGCAAAATTAAGTTCGCAGTGCCATTTTTATTGTTAAATTTATTTAGTCAAATTCATAAATTTTTAAAACTAAATATTGTTTAGTCCAGTTAACACTGAGATTTATAAAACAAAAGTTATGATTAAATTATTTATTGATACTGTCACTAAATATAACAACAGAAATATACATAATAACATTAGAATAGGAATATCCCAATAGAAAGACGATCAGTAGGAAGATCACGAAAACGATGGAACGATAACGTATTGGAGGCTGATATAGCTGATATTTGCTTAGACAGGTTAGAACAGAAATTCGTTAACAAGAACAAAATAGTTTTTTGGTCTAGATATGTTGCTGATTGCATAGCTCTTATACGGGGAACCCAATATGGGTTCCTAATCTAACATTTCTTTCACACTGAAACCAGAACCTGACAACAAGTTGAAATTCTTGAATATGACTATATAACAGAAAACAGTAATCAAGAATCCGTTGAACGGATTCTTGATTACTCGTAAGAATGTAAAGCAAGCAAACTGTTTACTTATATACACAAACAATCTAGGCCTCTCTGCTCGTGTTGGAAGAGTTTGGGTGTGATTCTTTTAAAAATCATGTAGAAGCTGTTTGTATTATCTTTAAAATTAAAGTCAATTAAGCGCCATTCCTTAATAGTTTACTCTTGTAAGGAAACGAGCTCAGACAAAGAATTAAAATGAATAATTTAAAACAAAGATAACCTTTATTATTTTGTAACGAACAAAAACTTATTAAAATATTCTACGTTAAAAAATTACGTCATCCCAGAAAAGAAATACACAGGTTGGGTTTAAGGTATTCAATTACAAATGAGAAGTGCTTATATGAAACTAAAATTAAAATCATATCGTAAGAAAACAAACATTTTATATCCTGATATTAGATTATGAATGAGAAATACTTATATGAAAATAAAATTATACTCTATCCTAAATTTTGAAATTCGTTCTATTTCTATATTATGTAGAATGTAAATATTGATTGTAATTAAAAGATCAATATAAATCATTTCACTGTTATTTAGTTCATAGATAATCTTCACTGTTCAATAAAAAAAAATAAAACAGGTACAACCTGAATTATTCAAATGTTTGTGTGTCTTGTGGAGAGGATATAACTTTTACCAACTAGATACTCAAGCTGGGACTTCAGAGGTTTAAATCTATCGGCAGCATAAACATCCACCATAAAAATATATAGGATTGGGCGGCTAAGTTAACGGAATATTCTTCGAATTGTGGGTTTCAGAACACATACCATAAATCCATAGTTATTTAGATAACCTCGGACCAATAAACATAGTTCTGACAACTATTGGGGCTACCGAAAAGAAATTTTTTGACTTACCTCAGCAAGAGACCACTCAAGCAAAATTTCGTCCTGTCTGTTGGATAGTTCATAGGAACTCAGTTGCTATCAACAAGTCCTCGTAGACATTTTGCCTCAGAATCAGCAACCTCATGTAGTGTCTTACGTTGCCATGTTATCAAATCCACTGGTAACTTTAACATCTTAACATATAAGATCGAATAATGTAACAGAAATTTAAACCAATAACTTTTACTAAAACGGGCTTTTACTAAAATATTTAGTGTCTCAAAACATGTACTCCTAGACACTGATAATGGAATATGGATTTCGATAACATTTTGTTGTGATATAACCCGATTGGGTGTTTTAATTATATACCTTTTATAAAGGATTTTAATAATTTTTTTGTGATACATGGTATACAGCCAGCTACAGGAGCTTAATGATAATAAAGTACATTCCTTGTTGATAACCCAGCTAAAACCTAACCACGACCTCTTTCCAGAGCATCTGCATACAATTGGAATCTCTGAAACTCCCTTCTGTCCGTGTAATAATGAATCTATAGGAGATTTGAACCACGTATTTTTCAATTGTCTTAATTATAGGAAACAAACTCGGAGCCTAGCGATCAGCAATCTGTTTTCTTATCCTGACAAATCTGTATATACTATTCTAATCAAGTGTATAAACAATTCTAAGATAAAAATTAATGTAAACATCCTCATAACTCTCTCTCTCTCTCTCTATCTCACTTACTCTTTCTCCCTCTCTTTGTCTCACTCTTGTCAAAGAACGGATTGAGTGAGAAGGAGAGAATCGAAAAACACGATTTAAGGACTAAGTTGAAGAAGACTTAAGACTCTAAAGAGTAGGAAATTGGAAAACCATGGGCAAAAAATAAACAGGAATGGACTCAGATCCTATGGCACCTTTACTATAAATCTGAAAAATCTTAAACGCTTCTTGAATCAGTTTAAAATGCAATTTACACGGCTAAGACATGTCCTACCATGGACGTATAAACACAGATGGACTCAGTTATTTACATAAAATTGTGAAGTCAAATTATTTGAATATGTCACATTCTCAGCACCTCCAACTGTTGTCACGTTTTTTTATTAAAATTTCTTATTTGCCAGTCGCTGAAAATATTACTCCGTATTTTATACTCTACAGGTGCTATCAAACCAAAATAATAATTTGTTGGTTATATTAATATATCTAATTGTAATCAAAATATCAAGTGTGCACATAGTGTGCATTATCATTTAATAATAGCGTATGATAGTTATAAATCAATTATTTTATATTTAGAAGCACTGAAAACTATTTATAAATGGCAACGGTTGTTTACATTTCTCTGTTTTACGGTTCTACGTCAAACTTCAAATGCTATTCCATGTTTGTTTACAACGATTGAGGAAATAAGGAAAAATTGTTTTTAGATATTTTGGCTGTATTTTGAGTGATATTTGTGAAAAGTGAAATAAAATAAAGGAAATATTTACATCCCGGTCTCCCATTTCATTTGTAAGTACATACAATTTACATTATTTAAGATGAGGAAATGAAAAAGCGTGTTTGTTTACATTTTAATAGGCGTACCATTGGGTTTATTCATGTTCATTAATGTATTCAATAAGATATAATAAAATTGTATTTTAATTTTTCTATAAAGACGTGATTTGTTAATAGTTAAATTCTCGTTTTTTTTTTAATTCTTTGAACGTGTTTTTATACATTATTACCACTTCCAATTTTTAAAATCTGAATAATTACCCGCGAGTAAAAATTCAAGCACGCTTATACTCATTGCGGAAGCATCACATTCTATCGAAGCTTCAAAACATTGTGTGTTAAAGGTATCTTATTGCTGTGTCCATCTATGTTTATACGTCAATGTGTCCTTCACTTCTTACAGAGTAAAGTTCAAAAATATTTTTGCATCAATTTCAGATTAAAGTTGTTTCTCCATTTTTATCTTTAAAGTAATTTTGACTTTTAAAGCATCTTCACAATTTTTAATTTTAGCAGACGTGACAAACACTTAAGATTTGTATAATGTAAAATAAATATATTTTAAGTAGCCACTTGTTAATAATGTTTTGTTATTTTAATATTATTATATTAATAAAAGAGTGTAATCAAATCAAAAACATTATTATAATAATACTAATAATAATATACAATTATTTAGTATAGTTATTTATTTACCAATATTTATATTATTTGGAAATATAAATAATATAAATTATATACAAGGGGCTAATTAGAATTATTTATAGGAAAAATTTAGGCTGTGCTAGTACTATAACTCCTTTAACATCAATAATGTCCTTTCCTTCAATCTTTCCCCACCTCCTTAAAAATCTCAGCTGGGTTATCACTTCCTCCTGCACTTTTCTCTCCTTTCTTCATCTTCTTGTTAATTCTCATTTCCCCCAAGTTTCTCCTGTTTGTCTGTATTTAATAGATCTTCGAAATATTTTGCCCATCTGTTTAATTTTTCTGTTGTTTCACCTAAAAGTAAGCCTTCTTTGTTTCTGCAATACTGTGGATTATTCTTTGTAGTTTCTCTGGATTTCTAAACTTCTTGGTAGATATTATTTACCTCTTAATTTATGTAGACTTCTATGTTTTTCAATTGCTTTTCTAGCTGGTCTCTTTTCTTTTTTCTGCAAATACTTTTCACGTCCTTTCTTGCCAAATAGTTTTCGATCGCATTGTGGGTATTTTCTTTATCTCTTTGTAGTTTTGCCCTATTGTATTCCTACATTCTTTATCAAACCAATCTCGCCGTCTTCTTATATACTCTCTTCCTATACACTTTTCCGCCGCTTCCCACATGGCTGTCTGTATGGTCTGCCACTCTTTTTCTATAACCTATTTGACTGGATTCTCTAGTTTTTTATTTATTTCTTCCTCTAGTCTCTTTACAACGTGCCTCTCTTGAAGACGCTCCAATTGGTAATTTAATCTATCTCTAACAGGTTTTGGAATTATTGGCAGTTCTTGTGTTAGTTTTGTTATTATTAGTGTGTGGTCACACCCCTCTGTAACTCCTGCAATCAATTATTGCCTTATCATGTTTGCTTTCAGTTAGGACGTGATCTATCTTATTTTTTATTTTTCTATCGTAAGAAGTCCATGTTACGTTATGAATGTCTTTGTGATCAAACCTTGTGCTAGCTATATTATATTCATTTTGTTCTCTTTAGTAAATTCTATTTATTCTGTTATTCTTCTATATATTTTCTCTTTTTCGACTTTCGCATTCATTTCAATAATTATCTTTATATCGTATTTCTGTATATTCCCTATTAAGGTGCTTAGCTTTTAGTAGCACTCTGTTTTCGTTTCTAAATCTTTATCTTCAGTGAGCTCATGTACATACATTAATGATACTTATCTTTCTATACTTTCTTCTTACTCTCAAATAAATTATTTTTCATATATATTTTATTGCTTTTAATATATTAAGATGTTCAGCTCAATAATTTGACAATTCATTCGTTTTTAGCCTCGGAATAGTTTTGTATAGGATCCCAAAATGTAAAAGACGTTTTATCGTCTTTTATCGATACGTCTGTAAATCATCATCATCATCAATGGCGCTACAACTCTTCATTAGTCTTTGCCGCGTTTACTATTGCCTTCCATGTTTGTCGGTCCTGTGCCAGTAATTCCCATTGTGCCCATCTTCTCTAGATCTTCTCTGACTGCATCTTTCCACCTTTTTCTAGGCCGCCCTACAGACCTTCTTCCATCTGGCCTTTCCCAGAACACATTGTTTATAAGGCGATTGTCATTACTGCGTATCACATGTGCTGCCCATCTGAGTCTATTGGCCTTTATATATCTGACTAGATTTTCTTTTCCGAATAGAGACTCTAGCTCGTTATTGTATCTTCCCTTCCATTCGTTTGTCACGCTGTCTCTGCAAGGGCCATATATCATTCGAAGAATTTTACGTTCCCTTTATTTACTTCTCTTTTTGTTATCCTCCATGTTTTGCTTCCATACACTCCTGTTGGTCGTATTATGGTCTTATATATCCGAATCTTTGCACCTCGTGAAAGTTGTTTCGACTTCATCAGATGTTGTATTGCAAAGAAAAATTTATTTCCTGCCATTATTCTCGTTTCAAATTCTCGCTCTAATTTGTTGTCATTTTTGATTGTTGCTCCTAGATATTTAAATTCTTTAACCACTTCGAAGTTGTGATCATTTATGGTAATGTTTTGCCTTATTCGCCGTCGTTCTTGTTTTGACACGACCATGTATTTTGTTTTGTCTTCATTTATTTTTAGACCGGTGTTTAATGCAGCTTCCTCAAAGCTCGAGAAAATATCCTTAATTTCCAATGCTGATTGTGCTACTGCGTCTACGTCATTGGCAAAGGCGAGTATGATTTTTGCTCTCCGAGCAGTTATGTCTGGTTTGATTTTTGGATATATTTTTCGCATGACATATTATAAGGCCAGGTTAAATAACAATGGGGACAAGGGATCTCCCTGTCCCAGTCCAGAATTTACGCAGAAAGCATTTAATATTTTCCCCCTATTCTAACTTGTGCAAAAGAGTTACTCACACATATTTGTGTTACCGCAGCTAGTTTCTTGGGTATGCCGAGCTCGATCATTGCCTTCCATAATGTTGCACGATTAATTGAATCATAAGCCTGTTTGAAGTCTATAAAAATCGCATGCACGTCGTGATTATATTCCCAATACTTTTCAAGCATTTGTTTTATTGTAAATATTTGATCAATAGTCGATCGGCCAGGCCTGAAACCACACTGGTAGTCACCAAATATTTCTTCGGCGTATGGTCTAATCTTTTTAATAATATCGAAGCCAATAGTTTATATATAGTGTTGATTAGTGAGATTCCTCTGTAATTCATGCATGACTTCTTTTTTCCTTTCTTCTGTATTGGTACAATAATACTACCATACCATTCTGGCATTATTTCTTGTTATCAGGCCATTTCTATTAATTGATGGATTTTACTTATGAGTTCAAGACCGCCGTCTGTTTTAATTATTGTTTTAATTTTAATTAATTACCTCGGCATCAATATTGTCCAGACCAGGGGATTTATCGTTTTTAAGCGTTTTTATGGCATTCGTAATTCCTTCCATGCTTGGTGGGGGTATTTCTAATTCAACGGTTTGATACTCATATTCTCCGTTGTTTCCACCATTTTCATTGTTTTCATCAGTGAAATTTTGGATATTCAGAAGAAAATATTCAGCCCATCTTTCTATTATTTTGTTTTCGGCACCCAGCATTTCTCCATTTTTATCTCTTACGAAGTTGGGTGTACTTATATACGAGCCTCTCTTTCTTATGTTGTCTTCCCTCTCTGTAGAAATTTTTACTTTTACTAGAAGAACGACAAAAACGTCTGTAAATATGATATGCTAATTTTTAAAATCATTTTCTAGATCTGAAATAAACATCACGTTTCTCAATGGCCTATGATAAAGGAGGCCTAGATTCAGCAATGGATAAATCAGAGATTTTTTTGTTGTTGTATAGTCTGTTTACAGTCTACTCTATACACAGAATAAAGTAAACAGTCTGTAAGTAAATTAACGTGAGTCAGGTGTCGTCCAGTAACGGTTCTGTAAGTATTATTGCGGTAGGTCTTCAGGCCATACTCTCTTCAATCTTCTTTTGGCAAGTAGTTGATGATGTTTGATTGATGATGATGTTGAATGATTTTTTTATTATGTTCTTAAGTAGTGGGATATCCAGATCATTGTGAAGTGTTTGGTTGGATACATACCATGGAGCTTTACTTATCATACGGAGTATATCATATTGGAATGTTTGAAATATCTTCGTATCTGAAGATTCCCTACAGCTCCATAGTTCTATTTCATGTGCCGAAACTGGTATAAGTATAGCTTTGTACAGAAGCAGTTTATTTTCAAGAGATAACCGAGACCTTTCGTTAAATAGTTAGTTCATATTTTTAGTTTAAGATCTAGTTTTTTCCGTTTAATTGTAATGTGCGTTTTTCATGCAAGTTTTTCATCCAGATGCAATCCCAAGTATTTGACAACTAGTTTTATGGGAATGGGAGTATTATTGATAGAAACTTGTGGACATGTAGATTTTCTTGTTGAGTTGTTAAAGTAATTTGTACTAATTTGCTGGCATTAACATGGATATTTCATCGCTTGAGCCAGTTTTGTAATTGATCTAAATGATTTTGTACTTTTTGTGATGCTACATTAGGGTAGATATTCAGTTCCAAGATACCCGTGTCATCGGCAAAAGTAGCCAAGAAGGTGTCAATGCTGTTTGGAACGTCGGCTGTAAATGTCAGATACAGAAAAGGGCTTAGAATACTACCCTGAGGTACGTCAGATTCTATGATGTGGTAATTTGAGTAGCTATCTTCAATTTGACTTGAAACTATCTGTCAGTAAGAGGCGATTTTAGTATGAACTATAGTTGGTCTGCTAGGTGTAATTTCAGTTTGTAAATACCTTTATGCCATACTCCATCAAATGCCTG